ACACACACACACACACACACACACACACACACACACACACACACACAGGCACATACATTAGTGTTACTTGGCATGCAGAGACAGGAAAAGCTAGGTTCATGCTTCTGGACATAGGAATCCCCAAGCCAGAGCACCTCCAGGCACAAGTCAAAGGGGCAGCCTTTGTTCTTCCCTTTCTTAAAAGGAATAAGAGAAACTTCTGATTACCAAAGAGGCTTAGAGGCGTATGTAGGCCCAGGTGTTATCAGGCTGTGAAGGACTGTCTCCTAAGTCACCTTTCCTTGTCCAGTTGGTCTGTATCTTATGCTAGCATCTCAGAGGCTGGACATTTTCAGCTAGTGTACCAGGCACACCTGCCAGCTTTCGTCCAGGAACCCACAGGTAGCCTGACTCTTTTTGGTGGGTTCTTTCTGTTGACTCACCACTGGCTTGATGGCTGGAAACATCCTCACACTCAGATCTGGGAGGAAGTGTTGGGGGTTGGGGGTAGCCTGTGCCTTCTCAAGACCAGTCAGAAGGATGGCTGTGAGCCCCTGCTACGGGAGTGTGATGCTTTTCTCAAGCTGTCTGCGTGCACTTGCACCCATGAAAGAATGTACACACACCCGGGTGGGCCCTCAGGCCAGCAGAGAATGAGGAGTGGTCAGCTCCCAACTACACAGCATGGCCACTTAGACTCTGGGGTGCGGGCCTCCTGCCTCTGTGTGGCCTCTGTGCCCTCCTTTCCCCGGGGGGAAAGACTGACTTTCTACCATTTCACCCTTCCAATCCATTGCTCTTCGCTGTCAGGGCTGTGGTCTGTAACCCTCAGCACTCGAACTTCTTCCTCTCTGGCCTGAGATAACGTGCGCATTCTTTGACTCTTGCTGACTCCAAAGGGCAGACTAATTGGGACCACCCAGAGTTCATGGACTCTCCGAACTGAGTAAACTTACATGGGAAATGGGAACAATGGGGCTATGATTGATTGAGGCTATAGTTTCCTTCCAATCAGTGGCAACAGCATGGAGAGTAATTAGGGGGCTTACAGGGATTTTTGACAGAGAGGGCAGAGGATGTCTGTGTTTGTGAAAATCAGTTTTGTTTTTTTTTTTTTTTAGATGTGCACTTGTTTCTTCTTTAGTACCTGCCACATGCTTTTCTGCTCACACTTCTCCTGACCTGCTGGTGGAGGCCCATCTAGGTGGGAGAGGATCAGCCTGCCTGCCTTGTGCCCCAGGGCTGACCTCATTCCTTTTGTGAGGAAGAAGAGGCTTTGTACTTTCCACTGCTCCTGTCCCCACCACTGCTCTGAACGTCACTTGTATGCTGGGTGCATGTGCGTGCACACAGGTGTGTGGGAGTGCGTGCACACAGGTGAGAGGCTAACTTGGGTTTTGTAATTCCATCACTGTTTACTTTCTTTCTTTTAGAAAGCTTAATTTATTTATTTATTACTTTTATGTGGGTGTGTGGGTGTGTGGGTGTGCGCCTGGAGCTGCCCTTACAGGTGTTTGCCAGCCACCCTCTGTGGGTGCTGGGAACCAAGCTTAGGTCCTTTAGAAGAAGAGTAAGTACTCTCAGCGGCTGAGCCATTTCTCCAGTCCCCTGCCATATTTCCTGAAACAAGGTTTCTCACTGCCAAGTAGGCTGGGCTGTCTAGATGGCATGCCCAAGGAGTCAGTTTGTCTCTGAAGAGGAGCTGATATGAATATATAGATTGTGTGCCCTTATACATACAGCTAGCTAATCAAGTTTTTACTCTCTTCTATGATCGCCCAATAGAAGTCTTTGTCTAAAGACTATAGGATTGTGCAGGAGTAAAATGAGTTAGAATTTTATTTAAGTATGGCAGCCTCTGTCAACATGTCCATATTCCTTATCTTGGAAAGGCAAATACTTACAGGAGTACCTTAAGCAGTAATTGGCACAGCTACCTGGCCAAAGGTTATACAGTAGATCCTGTTTGCTAAGAACGGATTTTCGTTGTTGTTACTTTCTCTTTGTTTTGTTTTAGTTTTAGTTTTTGAGACAGGGTCTCTCTAGGTAGCATTGGCTGTTTCGAAACTCACAGAGATCCGCTCGCCTCTGTCTCCCTAGTACTGGGATTAAAAGTGTGTGCCACTATGACTGTCAAGAAACGCATAACGAAAAGGAGTATTTTTATTGCCATTTCAAATGTTTGTGTGTTTTTATTGTCAGCTTCAAAATGTCTACCTGTAAAATGTTCACACCTGCAATTTCTGTTGCTGTGAGTGTGCCTAACTGTGACAAAAATTCCTTTTGATGGGTGTGGGGCTCAGAGACTATCCTCAGGTGGCCTATAAGTGCTGCAAGAAATTGGGGAGGACTGCTGGCCTTTGCAAAGCATTAGCCTGGGTCCCTGCCACTCCTCAACAATAAGAGCTGTCCTGTCTCTCTGAGTGAATGGCTCGTTCTCTGCTAGCTGGAATTTCCACAACACCTCCACCTTCCCTGTGCTCAGTTACATGTGTGCCCCGCCAAACCGGGCTTTTGTTTTCTAACCTGAGTTCTGGGGATTGAAGTTAGGTTCTCATGTGTGCATGTGGACATCTTGTCAGCTCACAGGTTCCCAAGGTCAACTACAGCCATATACAGACGCATAAGGTCACTCTCCTACTGGCAAACACAGGAGTTGCTTATTCTTGTTCTGGAATCCATTCTGCTTCGATGGTCCCACCTCCCTCCTGGGACATGTGCTTGACTCTGCCGTCCTTCCCAGCCAATAACCTTCCCCTGACTTATGAGCATTTTAGGAAATCACGCCTGTAATCCTAGAGTTGTGCAGGGTATGCAGACATGGATGTGCACAGAGGAGACTTAGGGATCATTTCCTTAAAGTAGGTTATTGTTTTGTTTCCTAGTGCAAGGGGGTCAGGGCAGCAGAATTTGAGGAACATGGACAGACAGGGAAAGTGAGGGGCAGGTCTCTAAGCTGGCTATTTCTTGTTCCCAGAAAACACTGAGAGGAGAAACAGTGGGAAGACTCGGAGGCAGGTGTGTAGACATTTCCGGCAGGGGAAAGGGGAGGACCCAGGAGTTCTGTGGAATACCCAGGCTGGCATCTGTTTCATGGACTTCCAGCCCGAAGTGCCTCCCATCTCTTTAACTCGGCTTGGTCTTCTGTTTTTCCTGTCTCGTTTCAATTCTTTGTGTCATCCCTTAGACAATTGGGGTCACCCCCACTTACAATGGAACCAAGGGCTGCACATATCCAGGAGGGCGCTTCACCACTCAGTTAAATCCCCAGTCGTAGCTTACTCCTGCCTAAGAATTTGGGCTGATTTTCACTGGACTCTTTTGGTAACAGTATAGTAAGAGGAAAAAAAAAAACTCATCGACCTTGTTCTTTCCTTTATTATAAAACATGTGGGTGCAGACCCAAACTGGAAGGCTGCTGAAAGCAAATACACTTTTACATCAGATGGGTGATATAAAATTGGATTTTGTATTCTCTCTATTTCAGCTTAGAATGTAAAACCGCCCAGATATCATCTTTCACCCTGAATTTATCATCAAGTTCACTTCCTGTTATTGTTACTCCAATACTGGAGAGAAACATTTACTTTCCAGAAGTTTTCATTTAACCTTAATGAAAACCAAACTCACACAGATCTACTTAAAAAATAAAAACAAACATTTTGGTCTGAACACGAATCTGCTTGATTATAAGAACATTGACCTAATAATTTCATACTATTAGCATCTATCTAATTATATCCTTTGGCTGCTCTAGGCATGATCACCAGCATTTGAAATTCAGATGGTGAACTTGGTCTGACCTTCCAGCCCCCACGGGACCCAAGCAGCCTGGAGCTGATTTTGCTGTGCATAGCTGAGAGAGGGCAGTTTTGCATCCTGCTCTTTTGTTTGGGGTCTGTGGGCTCTGGACAGCACTTACGTCTCATCTGTGAATGCTATTCCAAAGTATTCCTTCTCCTTCAGGTTGAAATGAGATGCCACCAGGTCAAGAAGCTCCTTGGCCAAAAGCTTGGGCTGGAAGAGAAGACAAGGGAAAGATTAAGTCATGAGAGACTTCACTAAATCATGCCATCATCTTGGGTTTCTAGCATGTTCTCAGTGTAATATCTGAAAACTCAAGCACACTACATAAACACAAATGACTTTTGTAAAATCCAAAGAGGGGCTTGGATGTGTTTCCGTTGATAGAGTTCTTACCTGGCACGCACAGAGCCCTGTGTTTAATTATTGGCACAGCTTAACACTGGCTGTTGTGATGCATGCCTGTAATCCTACATGAAGCAGAGGCAGGGGGATCTTCAGGATCATCTTCTGCTACATAGCAAGTTTGAGGCTAGCCTGGGCTAAATGAGATACACAGAAAGGGAAGAAGTGAGGGCGAGCGGGAGGGAGGAAGAGTAAGTGAGAAACAAAGACGGAAAGAAACAGACCACTAGGATACTGCTGTAAAACAGCCAAGTCAAAGGCCCCAGGTAACAGATGGAGGCTCTGAAAGGTTGGTTCTGTCAACAAATGGCACTTTTGTTCTTTAATGGGGCAGTCTACCCTGGTGACTTTCCTTCCCCACCTTATGCTGCCCTGGCAGGAAGATGTCTTTTTATTTCCTTGATCTGTTTAGCAAACACAGGCAGACCCCCCTTTTCTTAGAATAAGGTTGCTTTCTGATAAACCCATTGCAATCTGAAAATGTTAAGTGCGAACACTTTTAATATGAACATCAGAGTTTAGCAACACAGTGCTACAGGTGTGAGGTCTAGGGCACCTTGAATGCAATCCAAGACAAAATGGTAAATTTCCTTACCACCATGAGATTTATTTTTGTAACGAAGTTGCAAGTTTCTAGAGCATGGGCTTGGCAGATGACAACCCTGCCTTGCTACATGGAAAAGTTGAACACAGTTGCTACAGTGTGGCTGCTTCTGCCTCCGGGTCACAAGGGTAACTGAGGGCTCTGGATCTCAGCATCCTTAGAGGAGATGATAGCACATAGCCTGATCCAGGGAAAAGATCCAGATGCAAAATTTAAAGGACTATTTTACTGAATGAAGATTGCATTCGTACCATTGTCAAATCCAAAGATCCAGCAGTGAGTCAGTGACTGTGTGTATTTTCTGGGTGGTAGGCGCTTTCCTAAGCACTGTTTACACATCTTTACCCACAAAGTCCTATGAGATTGTCCACTGTGCAGGGCAGACACAGGCTCAAAGATCAGCTGACTCTTTCTACCTCCTCCTGCCTCAATGACCATGAGCTCAGCAGTGAAAACCACTTAGATTCACATGAGTTTGAAGTGATGGTATCACTTTCTCTCCTGGAAATCAGAGATCGATGGGAGACCCCCATCTTGATGAGCCAATGGCATCTAATACTCTCCACTTCCATTCCCACCATACAACCCGAGTGATAGGAAATTCAAGAAACCTTCCTCCATTAGCAGCAAGACACTTACACTGGGAATGCAGAGAGATGCGCACAGCACATCTCAGGGTTTTGCAAATGAATCACAAAAGGTGCTGCAAGTTTGAGTGCTGAGGCTCGATCGAGTACATGCTGTGGGATGCTGCAGGCTCTGCTGCCCATGGTACTCTTTCCTCCCAGAAGATGTTGGTCTGCTTTTAATTTGTGGGTTGTGGCGAGGCAGCATGTTCACTGATCTTATCATGTAGTGGATCATAACTTATCCATCAGAATGACTGGCATCCTTTTCAAAGCAGCCACAGTTTATCCATGATGCTTTCTGTCTCTGGAAGTATTCTGAGATGGGCACTGTGGTATGATATACCTGTAACCTCAACTCTTAGGAGGCTAGGCAGGAGGAATGGGGATTCAAGGCTAGCCTGGACTAAACAACAAGGCCATATATTTATATATATATTTCTGTTTAGGATATTCTTTTTGACTTACCTTGGGAGCATTTGTTAGATTTAGCATCCAGCACTCAGAATGGATTTGTATTTTTTTTGCAAATGTCAAGTCTAGTGGGAGTAGAAAGTCACCTGAGTTAAAATCTGATGAGTGGGGAGCGGGGAGAACTGAGTGGTCTCACTGGGTCAATCTGATATTAGAAAATGAGGTGTGAGGGCTGCAGAGATGGCTCAGCAGTTAAGAGCACTGTTTGCTCTTTCAGAGGTTCTGAGTTCAATTCCCAGCAACCACATGGTGGCGCACAACCATCTATACTGAGATCTGATGCCCTCTTCTGGCATACAGGTATACATGCAGATAGAGCACTCATACATAAAATAAAGAAATAAAAATAAAATCTTAAAAAATAAAAAGAAAATGAGGTGTGACTAAAAAGTACATGCTGTGGGCTCTTGTGGAGTATAATGAGGTAGCTAACCCACTCTTAGAAAGGGCAGTAGTGAGATTTCCCTCTTTGGGAATAAAATTTAAAGCAATCCAAACACCCTTGCTCAGTGTGGTGGTCTGAGTGAGAATCGTTTCCCTATAGGCTGATGGTTTTGAACACTTGGCCCCAGTTGGTAGCATTAATTGGGAAGGTTATGAACTTTTAGTGTGTGGAGACTTGCTGAGGCACATATTACTGGACAAGGGCGTTAAGGTCCCACAGTCATTTCCTGTGCTCGCTCTTTGCTCCTGTGTGTGCATGAAACGTTATCTCTCTGCTTTCAGACTGCCAGGCTAGCCTTCCTCACCATAATGGACAGTACCTCTTGGAACTGTAAGCCCAAATAAACTCTTCTCTAAATTTTTTTTTTTGTCAGAGTATTTTATCACAGCAACAAAAGTAACAAATACAGTTGGAGATGCATTCGTTTATCCAGAAGGAGGAAGGCACTCATTAATTACAGAAATGCTTGGAAGACATGCAAGGTGTGAGATAGGAAGGGAGCTGAGGGAAGTGTGGAGGGCAGGTTAACAGGCATGGAATACTTGTGTCCTTCACCCAGTTAAACCCTTTGAAATGACAGAAATGGACACGCAGAACAACTCCAGGTCACATATATCTGCTTTATAATGCTATGCCTTGCAAAGAATTTTCTGAGGTACAGGTCTGAGAGCTTCTGTACATGATATCATCATCTAAATGACAGACGATTATCTGCCAGTCAAGACTTAGAGGCCACAGACAGCTGTTATTAGTCCCAGCAAAGCTGTAATTCAAAACAAGGTCTGGATACATACAATGGAATATTACTCAGGCTTAAATAGGAACAAAACTCAGATCTGTGCTACATGAATGAATGCTGAAGACACACTAACTGAAAGAAGCCATATAAAAAAAGATGAATGCTATCTCACTTGTATAAGGAACTAAGATAATGTGATTTCACAGGGGTTGCCAGGGATTGGAGAGGATGATGAGCTACTGCTTGGCGGTAACAGAATGTCTGCTTCAGATTCTGACAACATTTTGAAAACAATGGGACTCTTTGATAACACTGCGCATGTAGTTACTGCCCCTGAATTGTATATATACAAAATGGTTAACATGTACATTTTATGTTATGTGTATTCACCCCAATTTACAAAAGAAACAAATGAAAGTCCTAGCTTATCTCAAAGTGGTACTCTTCCTCTGCATCCTGCCTGGGCTGACTTCCCAATGTCCGGGCAAGAGGTGAAGCATCGTGTGGCCTGAAGGACCTGTCTGGGTGAGGGCTGTAACACTGAATCTGAACCAGCACACCATTGCGAACTCATACGCCACCACTGTGCACTTAGCTAATGTGAATCTCCCCCTGGTTTTCAAGCCTCAAAGGTATCAAGACACTTGGCAAACCAGACCTTCTCTGGTGACCTCTGTTACAAGACTCACACACTTGTGGGTAAATATCTTCTGGAACCATCAATTGCTCTTCACGAATAGTATTACAGAGCAAAGGGAAGGAAGTCCCACTTTGGGGTACCCACAACTTAAAAACAGAGGAACCAGGAGGGCTGGGGAGACCTGTCGCCTGTGAAGTACTTGCTTCATATGCCATGAGGATTTGAGTTTAGACTCCAGACAGCAAGTTAGAAAAAGCATATGGGGAGAGTAACCAGCAGGCATTATATACATACATGACACTTATATGTATGACATATATGTTAGTTATGTCAGATAACCAACATTAAAAAAAAAGATTCAGAAGAAGCAATTGGAGTTCAGCAAGGAAAACAGACACCAATATCCTGAGATGCCACTGTACGGAATGAACTAACTACTGTCCTGTTAAACTAGAAAATATTAGTCACAAGAGAATGGAGGGGGGGAAAGCAGGGTTGCTGATGCATGCTTGCAATGTAGGGCTGGGGAGGCAGAGACAGGTAGATCCCTGGGGCTCCAGACCTGCTGGGCTAGACCTGCTCCAAGTCCTTGTGAGACACCATGTCTCAAAAAAAAAATATGGAAGGTGCTCAAGGAGTAACGTGGAAGGTTGATTTCCAGGCTCCATGTTTATACACATAAACACACACAATACAATAAAAATAGAGGAATCAAATCAGTGATGGGGAGACAACAGAAGACTCTAGAAGACATTGAGGTTGTAATTCTTTATTGTAAATCCTCACAGAACCCACACATGTCTTTTAGCTGTCAGGGTGACCAGCAGCAGCCCAGCGTCTGAGAGCTTCCATGGTTAGGAGGCAGAGCAGCACCCGGCACCTGAAGTCTGCTATCCCTCTCCGTGCTTCAGAGACAGTGGGGTCATTTGTTATCACAGTACCACGGAGCATGCTCCGGCGTCAACATCCGGGTTTCCCCAGTGTTGCAGAGGAAGACGATACTCTATGTGGATGTGATGGGGACGGAGGAACTACAGCATTCTGACAGCTCCTTACATTCCCTTGGAGAGAGTTTCCTGGTAAGCAGACGGCTCTTTGGCTGTTACATACTCGGAAGGGATGTTTACAGAATCCGGCTGATTGTAATTTGCCAGTTACTGGTGCTATAAACATTTGTGGATCCTTGCAGGGATCTGGCTGGGAGAGAGGCCAAGAGAGAGCCTTTAGCCCCATGGAGTGTGATGGGACAAACAGGGTAGGGGCCTGAAGGCATTCTGGGC